AAGATCCCATATATACCAAAATTTTTATGGCTGCACTTTTTGTAGTAATAAAAAACTAGAAACAAAGAAGACGCCCATGGATAGGCAAATGGCTAAATAGCTTGGCATGTGAATATAATGGAATATTACTATACTATAAGGAACGGTGAATTTGATGAATATGGAGAAGTATGGAAAGACTCTGAACTGATGCAAATCAAAGTAAGCAAAAGTAAGAAAGTAGCATGCACAATTATTATAACTATGTAAATAGAAAGAACAACAACAAAACAATCAGATTTAAACACTATGAAATTATAATGATTAAGCTTGGTCTCAAAGAAGAGGTGTGAGAAGGCACCTCCCCATCCTTCTTTGCAGAAGTGAGGGAACTATGGGTGTGGACCACTTCATATGGTCAGAGTATGTTGCTGAATTGGTTAGTTTTACTGAACTGTTTCTCCTCTCTTTTTTATTTTTGGAAGGGGAGGTAGGAGGAAGACCTTGAAAAATGTAGGTGATATAAAAATGAATGTATCAATAAAAAAATTTTTTTTTAAAAATTAATGCCCATAAAATTATCCCTGTAGTCCATAATTACCTAAAGTGTCTTTGGAATCCTTAAAGAACTTCCAGTGGTAGAATATGCATTTTTTAAATGAAGATTAAAAAGAAGAAGAAAAAAAAAAGTTTCCTTTTCCTCTTGTCACCTCCTGCTTGACATCCACCACAACTCAGTGGGTGCAAAAGATTTTAGTCTGCTGTTATCTGCAGCCTTTCATCTTGCCAAAGGATGAGCAAGAAGCTCAGACAGTGTTTCTGGGACGGTGTAGACCCCTTCAAAGTCATCAGGAATCAGCTGCCTCCCAAGGCTGCCCTTTGATAGATGATACAGGGCCTGGTTGGGTCAGGACCATGGCAAGGATGCCCTGAGACAGCATGATTACAGCAATGGCATACTTGATGTAGTGTCTAAAGATATGGGTTCAAGTTCAGTCTCTACCACTTACTGTATTATTAGGCAAATTCCTTCTTTCCCCCTGCAGGTTCTTAGTTTTCTCTTCTACAAAATGTGGGGGATAGGATTAGAGAAACTCTTAGGGTTCTTGCAGCTCTTTGGTTCTATGAAGCTAAGAAGGTCCCAGATTGGAGGGAAGAGATGCTCCAGCACTTGACCAATAGCTGAGCAGTGGAGCAGATTTCAAGGCATTCAAATTCTCGAAGCATTCAGATCTCCGTGCTCATTGCAAGATTAAATAGGAGCTCCAGATTCACCTTCCCCTCTTTGGAGAATTGTGTGGTGCTCAGCCTACAGCCAGGGTGGTTGGCACTTCCTTCTATGAGTTAGTGTAATGAAGAGTGCTGGACTTGGAAAGCCTTGGTTTATATCCTGGCTCTGGCACTTATTGGCTGGGGTGATCCTGGACAAATCATTTCACCTCTCTGAGCCTCAGTTTCCAGACTTTACAGGATTGTTGTGAGGAAAGCTTACAGTGCTATATAAATGGGAGGTTTTATCACCATTTTTAATAGTTTATTATTTTTATAGTTCAGAGTCAAATGAGCTTCCTAAGATCCCCCCAGAGAGCCAGAACACCTTTCTTTTGTTCTTGCCCATGTCCTTCCTAAGTTAAAGTTTCTTTATGATCTTCATGGCCTGAAAGGGGAGGGGGAGTTAGGGTTAGAGGAATAGAAGTATTGCGCTTCCCTGACAAAATGAAGATCTCCAAGGCTATAAGAAAACACCCTTTCTTTTCTTTCCTTCTTCCTCCCTTTCTTCCTTCCTTCCTTTCTTTCTCTTTCTCTTTTTCTTTCTTTCTTTCTCTTTTTCTCTTTCTTTCTTTCTCTCTTTCTTTTCTTTCTTTATTTCATGTCTGACCTGCATGATCATGAGTTAGGTGGTGGAGAGACTGGACCGAAGGTCCTAGTTTTCGCCCTCCCAGTCTTACATGCTTTTTGTTTATCCCACCTGCTTTGCAATGAACTAGCTAGACACCAAGGTACCCTACCTGGAGTGTGGGAGTGTGGGGGTGTCGGGGAGAAGCAATGGGAGGAGATGAGGACAGAAGGGAAGTCAGACATGGATAATGGCTAGAAGAGGGTTAGCCCCTAAAGTCAGATTGACTTGTTAAATCTTTCTGTCACTCCTTCCAACAGACTGAGTCTAGGGAGAGACAGAGCCCTCAGCTCCAGAAGTAGGCAATACAAGAATTATATTGCAGGATTTCCAGGGGACGTTTGAGACTTATTTAAATAAGTGATAGCTAGGGGGTATAATGGATTGAGCACTGAACCTGGAATCAGGAAGACTTGAGTTTAAAGCCTGCCTTAGATACTTACTAACAGTGTGACCCTGGACAAATCACTTAACCTCTGTCTGCCTCCGTTTCCTATCTATAAAATGAATTTAATCATAGCACCTACCTCTCAGAGTGGTAGTAAGGATAAAATGAGAAAATATAAATTGCTTTGAAAGCCTTTAAGTACTATTGATTATCTATCTATAGCTATGCTGGCTATTACTATTATTTTTTTTTATTTTTATTACTATTATTATTATTATTATTATTACTATTAGCTATTACATAGCCTGGAATAAAACCTCTCACATTTCTTTCTTTTGAGATTTTTGAGTTCTCTTAAAAAATGAAATGGTGCGCACACGCACACACATACACACACACACAATTGACATAAAATATAATATAAATAAAACCTGTGGAACAAAGAAAAATAAAGGATAATACATATTTAAAAGTTTCACATACGTACAATCTAAGATGCTAATGCATCTTAAGAATCATTTAAGAAACTTTGCTTTTCAAACCTCATAACCTAAACACTCAAAATGATTTTTTAAAATCTGCTACTATGTGGAAGTTTTTACTGCTGGGGTTTAAAAGAAAAAGGAAACCTTGAAATGGTCCTGAAATAGCACATTACTTTCCATTTCATTTTTTTCATAGAATCCTGGTGCTGTCAGGGGCCTTAGAGATATTATAATACCTTTTATATCAGGAGTTCTTAACTGGGAGTCCATAGATTTCAGGGGCTCTATAAACTTGGATGGGAAAAAAATTACATTTACTTCAATGTAATTGGTTTCCTTTGTAATTTTATGTATTTTATTTATGCAATAACATGATTCTGAGAAGGGGTCTCTAGGATTTATGAGATTTCCAAAAGGAGCCCATGACACAAGAAAGATTAAGAGCCTCTGTCTTTTATCAAGATTCTCTGGAGTTCATAAAATATAAAAACATTTGAAGGAACTGAGAATATTTAGCCTAGAGAAGAAAAGATTAAGGGGATATCATTGCCATCTTCAAGTATCTGGAGGGTTTTGATGTGCAAGGGAATTTAGGCTTCTTCTACTTGGCCCTAGAAAGCAAAACTAGGAACAACAGGGTGAAATTGCAGATAGGCAAATTTCCACTCAATATAAAGAAAAACCAGCTAACAATCTGAACTGTCCAAAATTGAAGTGAGCTGCCTTGGGAGGTAGTGAGCTCTTCATCATTGGATTTCTCCAAGCAAAGGGTACATAACCATTGTCCGTGAAATTATAAAGGAGATCCTTGTTTTCAGGGAAGGGTAGGACTAGATGGATTTTGGAGGTCCTTTCAAGGTCTGAGAGTCTGTGGTTCTACCAAATTATGAATGGCTTGTGAATGGCTCACATCTGGGAAATCTCCTTCAAGCCTTAACATTGGCAGCAAGCAGTGTTAGAGACTGGGCGTGCAGAATCAGGACTGCAGCTGTCACAGCCTATGCCCTTGGAAAGAACAGGCTGGGCCAGCCTGATGTGGGCATCAGTAAATATCAGTGGGTTAATCTGGGACTAACTTTCAGGCACATATTATCAATGGATGACTATTCTGGGCTGACACTTGGTCATTGATGAATTTCCATTCGCTGAGTAGGTTTATAGCAGTACTCAACCAACTACTTCTTGTGGGAATAACCCCTCTTAGTAAAGACTTATAATCCTCTGTGCCCTGCCTCATATCTGAAAAATTCCTTTGCCCTGACTTATTTTGAGGGAGCATGGCCCAATTAGATTCAGGGAATAGGATGCTTTCCTCTTTTTGGCAAGTCTGTGTATCTTGATCTTCTATGTCCTGTAGTCTTTTCATGTTCACACATCTCCCAAGGATAGTATTTCCCTGCCCCCTGCCCCCAACTTCCGCTGTCCAGAAATAGAAGTGATTCCAACACTAGAATTCTATGATTTATAACTAACAGAGATTAAGGAAGAACATGACTGAGGATTTTAGATTTCAATTGGAAGGGATCTTAGAAATAGTAGGATCATAGATTTAAATCTGGAAAGGTCCAAATCCTTTAGTTTTATAGATGTGGACTTTGAGATCCAGTGTTACCCAAGGGTAATGGGGTGGTAGAGTCATAATTTGAACTCAGCTCTTCTGACTTTAAGTCCAGTGCTCTTTGCACTATGAAATACTACATCCTGTCCCCCACAAGCTTCTACAGATTCAGAAACTGAGTTAAACCCTGCTGCCTCATTTTATAGATTTAGAAACTGAATCCTAAAGAGGGGAAGTTACTTGTCCAAGGTCACATAGGAATTAACTTAGATCAAAACCTCTGGTTCCAAGTATATTCTCTTTGTATTTCAGGTCCCCTTGGGAGCTATACAGAGGAAAGACTGATTCTCCTACTGCCCCCTGAATGCCAGATAGACGTTTATCCTTATTCCCCAAGAATGGAGAAGGTATTTATATATGTATTGGGGGGAAAGGGGAAAGGGAGAGGGAGATGCCTTTTGGTACCTGTATCCCTCCCCCTCACCTCGCTTCAGCTCCACAACATAGGTACACGATATCATAAACAACCTCCAACCTCATTCTGTTGGAATTGGGTGTGTGTGGGGGGGGGGGTACCATTGCTCAGTGTAGAATGAACAATCATAGCCTATTATTTCAAGGCTTAGGAGAAGGTGGAAATGGCTCCTCTTCCCTTCCAACCCTCTTATTTCTGGGGCCCTTGGAAAATCTTACCTTCAGGGTCCAGGCAAGGCTCCCCCAGGTCTTCCTCTGAATGCAGCAGCCCTCCACCTGTGGCTGAAGTATTTATAGTCGGCCCCAGAGCTGGCGGCTGACAAATATTTGGTGGCTGTATTGTCATAGTAGACTTGGCAAACAGAGCCTGAGTTTGCTTTGGCGCCCAGCAACTGGGGAACACTACAGCAAAGAAACCCGTGTGGGCGAAAGATCGGGTTCACCTTAATGGCTGGCCTGCCAGGGGACTTTCGAGTGTTGTCCCTGTCCCGCCGCCTGTTAAAACTCCAGCTCCAGCTGCACAGCTGCCTGGCACACTTGTCCCGAGGGCCCTTATCTCCCCTTCTGATTGGAGCCTGAATCAAGCTTGGTCAAATAGGTGTAAAATTAAATTTCATGCTATTTTGACTCCTGGAGTAGGCCTCCTCCAAAGGACATAAGCTTATCTAGGCTCTCTGTGTAAACAGACAAACAGAGCTTCCTGGGCTCTGGACCAACCCAGCCAGGGGAAAAAGAGCTGGAGATTTGCCTTTCTTGCCTAGCAGAAGCACCTGCCTAACTTTGGACCCTCGGGACATGCCTCCCTCCCTTGCCTGGGCTTCCCAGGATTGAAGGGTGAGGAAGCCAGGCATGGTCTCTGAATCTCTCCTCCTTCCCAACTCTCCTGACCCAATTCACCACCAGCCCTCAGGGGACTTCCCTAGATGTAAGGGGTTGGCTTCTTGGGAAGAACATATTTCATTGTGGATTGATGCATTGAGGAATATGAATGCTGATGACATTTTATGCTGTTCTGGAGCTCAGGGCCCATGGAAGGAGACTGACTACATCCAGGTATACTCCTCTTCATTGGTCCTTGAAATTTCATGATGATGATGATGATGATTATCTTTCTTATCATTATTGCTGAGCTGCGGACTCATTTCCACATGAATCCAAGGTCTTTGCCTCTCTGATCCCTACTCCTTTTTGTTCTGAGCATTCATAGGATTTGAGGAGTCAAAGGAACCTTAGAAATCATCTGATCCAACATCGTTTTATAGATGAGGAAACTGAGGCCCTGTGATGGTGCAAGACATGTCCACGGTCACACTTAAGAAGTGGAAGAACTGGGATTTGAAACCATCTCCTGATTCTAAATCCCATGTTGTTTCAAGTATTTAATGACAATTCTTCCCCACACTTGGCCTGGAGGCAGCTTGGACACAGGAACCTAGAGCTGGGGTATGGGGGGGTGACCCTGTTGTGGCCAGCTCTTTTGAATATGTATTCTGTACCTATTAAGTACAAATTATTGGATTAGACTCTGGGGACACAAAGACAAAACAAAACAATCCCAGATCCCAATCAATCAACAAGCATTTGATAAAGCATTGTGCTAGGCACTGGGGGACACTGAAGCAGGAATGAAATACTATGAAATTCTATTAGAGGAGACTTGTAGCGGCAGTTAGGTGGTGCAGTGGATAGAGCACCGGCCCTGGAGTCAGGAGGACTTGAGTTCAAATCTGACCTCAGACATATAACACTCACTGGCTGTGTGACTCTGGCCAAGTCATTTAACCCCAATTGCCTCAAAAAAAAAATGCATAGAAGAGACTTGTATACAATAAAATGCATACAACTAAATGCAAGGTAAAGATGTGTTATAAGGTTGGGGAATCAAAAATGGTTTCATATAGAAAGTAGCATTTAAGCTAAGATTTAAAGGAAATTAGGGGTTCTAAGAAGCACAAGAGAAGAGGGATTGTATTCCAGTCATGGGGGGAGGGTTAATTTCTGAAAAAGCACTGAGACAGATGATAGAATGTCATATCTAAGGAACAGTAAGAAGGTCAGTTTAAATAGAGAGAAGAGCGTGTGAAAGGGAATAATGTATAATAAAGCTAAGAAGATAAATTGGAATCAGATTGTGAAGGAATCTGAATGCCAAATAGACCAGTCAGTATTTTGTCCTAGGGGTAAAATGGAGCTCCTGAAGCTCTTGAGCAGGGGAGTGACATGGTCAGACCTGTGATTTGGGAATCTCAATTTAGGGGCAGCTAGGTGGCACAGTGGATAGAGCTCTGGTCTTGGAGTCAGGAGGACCTGAGTTCAAATCCAGCCTCAGACATTTGATACTTACTAGCTGTGTGACCCCGGGCAGGTCACTTAACTCTGATTGCGTCACCAAAAAAAGGGGGGGGGGAATCTCAATGTGGCAGTCATATTGAAGATGGATTGGAGAGGAGAGAGACTTAAGGCATGGAGACCAAGCAAGAGACAATTATTAGAATAATTCAAGTGAAAGGTAATAAGGGTTTAATTGAGAGTGGTGGCCATGTGAGTGAAGAGGAAAAGATGTTTGTGAAGAAGAGGCTGTAGGGGCAGTCCTAGTCAACTTATTGGAGTGTTGGGTGAGGCAGAGAGGAGTAGATGATGACTCTAAGGTTGGAAACCTGGGTGCCTGGAAAGATGGAGGTGTCCCCAATAGAAATAGGGAAGTTTGGAAGAGGGGCCAGTCTTGGAAGAAAGATAATGAGCTCTGTTTTTAGAGTGTTAAGATCAAGATAACTAAAAGATATCAAATTCAAAATGTCCAGAAGGAAGTTGGTCATGCCAGACTAGAGTTCAGGAGAAAGACTGGGGCAGGATATATAGATTTGGAGTTTAACCTGATAGCAGATAATTCTAATGGACTGAAATAATGAGCTAAGCTATCTCTGTACATCAATATCCAAACACTGTTTGGAAGCTAGGTGGTACAGTGAATGGAGCCCCGAAGACCTGAATTCAATTTCAGACTTAGATACTCACTAGCTATACAAACCTGGGTAAGTCACTTAGCTTCTGTCTGCTTCAATTTCCTTAGTTGTAAAATGTGAATAATAATAGCATCTTTCTCCTAGAGTTGTTGCAAGGATAAAATGAGATAATATTTGTAAAGCCCTTAGCACAATGCCTCACCCACAGTAAGTGCTTTATAAATGCTTGTTTCCTCCATTCCTTTCTTCCTATTCCCCCTGCTTCATCTCCATCTATCCTGGTCCTCTTCTTAAGAAAAGCAACACAAAAGGGCAGCTAGGTGGCGCAGTAGATAGAACACTGGCCCTGGAGTCAGGAGGACCTGAGTTCAAGTGTGACCACAGATCAAACACTTGACACTTACTAACTATGTGATGCTGGGCAAGTCACTTAACCCCAATTGCCTAAGAAAAAAAAACACAAAAACAAACAAACAAACAAAAAAAAACAAAAAAAAGAAAGAAAAGCAACACATAGACTGACAGCAGTTAGAGCCATTCAATTTGTCTACCTACAACTATAAAATCAAACTATTTAAACAGAAATTAGAAAAGTAACTTTATGCATGCGTTGACCATTACATTACAGAACAGATTCAACTTTGGAATCAGCTTCTGTTCAATTTGGAAAAGAGGAGGGGGAATGAAAAAGAGATAGTACATCACTGTATGGTACCCATTCTCCTAAATGGAAAGTCCCCTCAATCTAGCTACTGAAGGTAGATGCAGTTGCAACAACCAGAGCTCTGGTTATGGCCCGGTCAGCTACTGCCACTGGGGTCAGGTAGTGGCCCCACAGGATGTTGAACCTCAATACTCGATTTCCTCACTAGCTTCAATGGGGACATCACTCCCCTTGCTGCTGCTATAACCAAGTACTGCTGCCACTGCCTTTATCGATCATTACTGCTGCCCCAGTCCATGGCTCCTCTGACTCAATAGCCAATAAGGGGGTTAATTTGCTATTTCAAAGTGCCCCCTTCCTTTAGCAATGAGCCACCAATTAAGCAGAGGCAGCTGGGCTCTGAATACTCCTCCCTGTCAGTAGGGGACCATCTCAAAGGCCAATCATCTGCCAATTAAGCACAGATCCTTGGGCTTAACTATTGTGTTTGACTATTATATTGGGACTACCTGGGCTGGCAAATCACAAATAAAAAATAAAAGTCTCACCATTTTAAATTTGGAATACATTAGCTAGGACTAGTTGGTTTTTTACAATTTATCCTGCTTACCCTATCCAGTCAAACTTAAGTTCATAGAACCACAGCATGTTAGACCAAAAAAAGCACTGAATTTGGAGCCAGATGACCTGTGTTCAAAGCCTGGCTCTTCTGCTTGCTACCTGTGGGTGATATTGGATAAATCACACTAAGCCCCTTTTGGTCTGTTTGCTTACCTACCTGTAAAATGTAGTTGAATTAAGTGACCTTTAAAGCCCCCAGCTAGGTGGCACGGTGAAGAGAGTGTCTGGCCTGAAGTCAGGAAGACTCATTTTGGTGAGTGCAAATCAGATGCTTACTAGCAGTGTGACCCTGGGCAAGTCATTTAACTCTCTTTGTCTCAATTCTTCATCTGTAAAATGAGCTGGAGAATGAAACAGCAAGCTACTCCAGTTATCTTTGCCAAGAAAACCCCAAATGGGGTCACAAAGAGTCAGATATGACTGAACAACAACAAAACCTGTTCCAACTCTAGATCTATGAATCCTCTTCCATAAAGCTACCTTCCCCACTGCCCCACCCTGCCCAAGCCATGTTCTGTTACAGGCAGCTCAGTACTGGTCAGAAAAAAGACAGTTGCCAATACCTTGCCATTGGAGCCCTAGCCCTTCTCTAGCCATATCAATTTGATGTACCTTGACTCAATTCAAATTACTTATTAATTATCACAGAGCATGGAAGTGGAACCAGAATGGGAGTAACGAGTGAACAATTTTGACTTAAATACACAAATGAGATCTGTGATCTCATCAATAGGCATGTTCACTACAACCATACAGATCAAAACTTATCTGTGCCTGCCCATTCTATGTGATTCTTACCCATGTCCTCCCACCCCTTCTACTTAGGTCACCTAATATGGGGGACAAGGTTTCCTCTCCTCCTGATATGAAGGGGTTACAAGTAGAACATATGAGTTGATCACTTTTTATCATATGATATCCTCCATCTTACTTTTCCTTTTAAAATTGTTTTCTCCTCTTCCTTCATTATTATGAACTTAACAAAAATGCCCATCTGATTTTTCAATCTCCAGACTACTTTTTCATCTCCACCCCAGTGGAATCTCTCATGCTGGCAATGCCTTCACTCCTGCAGCCTCCTCCTCCAATTAGTGAATTC